TTCCATATATTTCACGCAATAACTGTAGAAGTACTTTTTTCCGCGTGGTATTAATTTACGCTATGTACGCGCTCACAATTTTTCCGCGGAAATTTGTCCAAGTGTCCTTAATATAAATGTAAAGCATATATAGTGACAATCTAGAAAATCCGCGTAATTTTGTACCCGCGGATTTAACAGAAATTGAGATTCCGCGGAATTATGACCCTGTGGAAAAAAGTACGCCTACAGAATTAATATTCAGTATGATTTCCTTTGAAGAGCTGCTTGTGAGTTAGACACACAGTTACGGATCCGGGAAATGAGAGGGGCAGTTTGGAGTCTGTTAGAGACCCGGGGTCACACTAAAATTGATTTATTAAGGGTCCTCCACACCATGTAAGTTGTGACGTATATAGAGAAAAAAAACTTTTATTTCCGGTGTTTTCTAGTTTGTACATTAACGATTTGGCTGGTACCGCTTGTAAGAGAGTCTTACAAACGCTTTAGAGATAAAGGTTTTGCTAAGAGAAAAGTATGCAGTACACTGAGAGCGACACCCCAATTATAAACAATGAACACATATCACATGACTGATGGAAAAAGATGTGCGGGTTTTGTTTGCTACAGGGTAATTTATTACAAAATTATTAGATTTTATAAATAATTAATTAACACAAGTGCAGTTATTAATTTTTAAAAGAACAACAGATGCCTGGGATTTTGTTACATAATAATTCTTAAACAACGGGTACCGGTATGACGAGAAAACTTCAGGTTACTGTATAGGGGATTAATTTCACGGGTTGTAATTTTCACGGTTTTCTCTCATCTGACACGATCGCGGTTTTTTGAATTCGCGGAATTTGGTATGTAATAAAAGTTACTTACCTTGTCTCCATTTAATCCATACCATAGCTTCATGTAAACGACATTAATCAGCGTTATGTCTTTATTTCACGAACAACAGGGTAATTTATTACAAAATTATTAGATTTTATAAATAATTAATTAACACAAGTGCAGTTATTAATAGTCCCTAAAAGTTAAATGACTTTCCTATACTTTGTTATTACGATGAGTGCATGTGCACCCGAGATCTTCAATACAACGCAGCGAAAAACTACTGGACGAAAAAAAAACTTTTTATGTAGTTCTACGTTCTACAAAATAATATCCTTCCACACTTCCTTCGTCAGTAAGTTCGATATATATTTGAATGATTATGTTACATAATAATTCGTAAACAACGGGTACCGGTATGACGAGAAAACTTCAGGTTATTTATACTTTCAGGCTAATAAACCGAGTCTGTTATGATAGTTGAAATTTTTGCACACTAAATTGTGCGTTTCAATAATACATCGTCTCAATGTGTGTTTATAAATATAGAGAAAATAGTATGCGTTTCTAGTTTTCCTCTTTTAAATATCTGTCCAGTTCAGTAGCCAATCATGAGTAAATATAGTATGTTGACGTATGCGGAGACTTGCCAAAGTATTTGAGTCCAGGGCAACAGGAAAGATAACTCCAAAAAGAAACTTTCAAAGATTTTGAATTTTTTTTCTACATCAGTGCATTTAATTTTAATTCAATTTTTTGGTGTCATCTAATTCACTAATATTTCTTCTCTACAAAAGGAGTCTTTATTGATTTTTCTCAAGATGTATTTTAGAGAAAATGAGTTTTATGTACTTTTTATAAATAAAATAAATGTCTGTAAAAATATGTTAATCGATAAAATTAAGTTTTTATCGTTATTCTGTGTGCCTAAAATATACGAAAGGGTAAGACAAAATTTGTTGTGCTAGGTATGAAAACGCCCTGGGAAAATTTTTTTAAAACTTGTGAAATTATTATTTTAAAAAATCAGTTTACACTGTAAATTACATTTTAATCCCTGGACAGTTTTTAAAGGTTGATATGGTTGTTAAAAGTAGTGCTCAATAATATGAGAACATAAGCTGTGTGTGTGTGGAAGACCCTTAAGTTTAATGTGTATTTTGGTCACAAAAGGGGGGACCCAACCCCCTGGCCCCTCTCAATCCGTCAGTGACATGTATTTAATGAACAATCCAGTAACTGTTTTGGGTTACATCCTTTTAAAATATTTTACTGTATCTATTCAATTTTGCAGATTACATGTTAAACACAAATTATGTGTGTTTAAAATGATTTGAGTAAATAATTTCTGAATTGTTTATGATTTCTTATGTCTGTAATGGTTTACAAGATTAAAACCGAGAGGGGCGTTAAACAATAGTCAAACAAACAACAAAGAATTTTGGGGTGTTGCTAAAACGCGAAACGGAAAACGGAAGGGAACAGAAAACGGAATATATTATTTTATATTAAATCACTTAAAATACACAAATTTTGTCATAAACAATATGTTTTGACAAACAAGTTGGTGACACAAGTATATCAGCAGTCTCGTTTAAAGTCATCATTTTGTAACTTATATGGTCGATACAATGACCAAATACAATTTATCATTAAGTCAAATGCTGACTGACGTTTTACATACCAATTGTTAGTCCATTATCTATACACTAAATTGAAGACGGATTTTTCCGTTATTTCCTGATCATGATAAGAAGCACAAGGCAGGTCTGACCGGTCGGCAGGGGATGCTCACTCCTCCATAGCACCTGATCCCACCTCTGATATTTTGGAGGTCCGTGTTTGCTCTGCTCCTATTTTGTATTGTTTTATGTAATTTTGATATTGAATACTATTCGTTATCTACATATTCTTCATTCACGAAAATTGCTGACATAGCATGACAAAGAATTGATTTTAAAAGTTTAAGTGTGTGTGGAAGGGGGCTTAAACTTATCTGAAAATAATTTGACAAGCGAAAAAAATATACACAAATGTATGATTCGGGAGAGGGAACCAGTTCATACTCCAATCTTTCAATACCTTTTTTGTACACTTATTTACTACTTTAATTAACAAAGTGTGGAGATTTCAATAAGCATTTCTATAGTAAAAAGGTTTTCTGGAAAAGGGGGAGAGGAAGTATTTGATATCTAGACAAACCATGTTTAAAGAGAATGAAAATGTTATAATAAAAATTTCTAAGATACGATTAGAGCAGACCTTTTCGGCTAGCGCGGATAAACACCTCTAACGTATAAAGTTCATTTGTTGTTTAAATTTTATACAAAATAGAGTAGATTCTTGTGTATTAAAGTTCTGGATAGAAACAGTTGAAAATCTTTTCTGTGTTAGAAGATGTAGCATCTTTACATTTAATGAAGTTATAGTTTGTATGTGGTACATGTGTTTGTGTGTTTAAGGGGAAGGACCCTGGATATGAATGGTGAAACATTTGAGTTTATTTTTCCGCTCTTTGGAAAGCTCTGAAAAGTTGCAAAAGGACCGCCCTTCCCCTTTTGACATTAGCTCCAGACCTTTTCACTATTGAAATGTTCATGGAAACCCAACATTTTTGTTAATGCAATTCATGTAGTGAGTTTGTGTGAATGAAAGATGTAAAACTTAGACCCCCCCCCCCCCAAAAAAAAAACAAAAAAAAATGTATTTTTTCTTTTTCGCTTGTCAACCTCTTTTCAAGTAAGTTAAATACCGACACACACACTTTCAAATTTGATTTTACGTCAATTTTCTGTCAGCAATTTTCGTGAATAAGAGGTTGAACATGACTTAATAAGCTGTTTTAATAATAGGTGATTGAATATGAATAAAATATATCGTTTATGTTGAAAATTGTGTATTTCAAGTGATTCAATATAAAATATGTTCCGTTTTCCTTTCCGTTACGTTTTCCGTTCCGCGTTTTAGCAACACCCACAATTTTGCGGGGGTAAAAAAAGCTAGTTTGTTTACTGTTAGTATTCCAATGTTTAACCACTTATATAAATTAAAAAAAACTGTTTAATAAATAAAAAAGATTGATTGGTTTCAGGTCTTTTTTCATGTGCCTCAATTCTGTCAAAATGACCAATTTTCGTAAGCTCTTAACATACTGAAGCGAAACTGGTTACATAATTGATTGATTGTAGTTAAACGCCTTTACATGAAGTGTACATGTGCTTTTCCATTAGTGGGTGTATTTGTTGTCGTAAAACAGTAGGTATATTTCAAACTTCCAATTTCTTTTCTCTACGAACAATTACGAGTTTTAATTGACAGAAACAGATTGCTATGAATCACTACTGAAGTATATTTCAAAACAATGGACAAAATAATAATTTAATAAACAAAAATTTTGAACTATTTGAGAAAGATATAATACTATAAGTTATATTATGGTAATACTTTAGATTGATTGATTGTATATTGTTTAAAGTCCCTCTCGAGAGTTTTTCACTCATATGGAGATGCCACCACTTGCCGGTGGAGAGCTGCAAATTTTGTCCCATACTCGGCACGTAAGGCCATTGAGAAGGAAGGGATCTTTTTCGTTCAAGCACCTACTGCGAAACGGGACCTAAGTTTGTACAGTCTAATCTGAAAGACCGGCCTCCACGTCCTACAGTGGGATTCGAACCCACGACGTTAGGATTGATTCCTTACTTCGCGACTCTAGATCAGACGCTCTAACCACTGCGCCACGCGGGCGACGTAATACTTTGGAAATTCAAACTAAGATTTGATTCATTTTGCTTTTTTTTTTTACTTTATTATTATTAAAGTTAAGGTTTTTTGTGTTTATTCCACCACATCATTTCGCAAATAAAAGGCGAGTTATGACTCATGTATTGTTTCAAATAATCAAATGGCATGCAATAAAGAACATAAAAAAGAGAATCCTTTCCAGATAACACCTAAATATTTCAAACCTTAACCTCATATGATTCTATGCTAGCAAAATTAGGGCAACAGAAGGAAACTGAGCTTAAAATAGTTTACAGTTTCTATTAATTAGACTTTTATAATACTAAAACTGGATAACAAATGGGTAATAATTAAGAAAAAATGACAGAAGAAATGCACTGAAAAAATTCGCGATGTTATTGTTCAAACTCTTTACGTATATTAAGCAACATTTTCCCAAATTCTATTCTATTGCATTATCTCTAGAGTTTTCTTACTTGTGAAATTTTATTGATAAAGAAAATATTGAAAATAATTGAAAAATGAGGCATTTCCTGAAAAATACTCATTAGTCATTAGCAAAAAAATCAAATGCATTAAACATAAACACACATTATTATAGCAGAGATACAAAGTTGGGTATATAATAATACTAATTATTTTAATAGTTTAGGCTTTGTGTTACATATCTTTTAGTCCCTGAGTCAAAGCAATCCAGAACTCTTCTTGAATATCTTTATCATACTCCAAATATGTCTGTTCTATTATGATATCCTTTAGAAATTTCGGCAGGACAGCTCCAAGATCTTTGTCTACAAGAATAATTATTAAAGTTGTTTCCCCTCCTCTATAAATACTTTCCATTCGAGCCATCTGGGCTTCGTATATACAAAATTCAGATTCTAAGAAAGCTTTACTCAGAAAACAGACAGTACGTTTGCTATTGTGAATAGCATTGGTAATGTTTTCTGCTACGTTAACACCAACGATAAAGTCACGACTGTGAATGCAAAATTTAAAATTGTTTTCTCTTTCAAGCTTCAAAAGGTTTGGTATAAACTCTGCTCTTTCACTTTCAGCATAAGAAATGAAAGCATCAAATTGATACTGTCTACCTGAATTAAAGATCCTTGAATATCCACTATAATTTCTTTTACCAGCGTAATACAAGTATCGTAGTTTCCATCTATACCTATACACTATTGCAAAGGATACAAGAATAATTGTGACCAGTAAAATAATGGTAACTACAATTATTGTAGTTGTAAACGACGCACATTCAAGCTCTAAAGAAGAAAGTATTTTGTCCAAATTGCGCAAATGAATCCTTTTTCTCTCTGTGAACATGCAAGTATAATTATCTTTGTCAACAAAGTGTTTATTTAAAGAGTCCTTCATCCATTTTAAGAATTCCCTGCTTTGGCATGTACATTGAAATGGATTGCTTGACATCTGGATAAAGAGTTGTTTCTCTCTCGAAGCATCTAAGAAGTCCATTGATTTCGAATCCAAAATCACAATTTTATTAGAAGATAAATCTATGCTACGCAATTTAAGGGCACCTGATAAATCAAATGTGACACTTTCTAAATCATTATTACTTAAGTTTAAGTGCTCAATATTTGACGCAAATATAAACAAATCTTTATGCAAGTAGGTTATCCAGTTGAAGGACAGATCCAGAACCTTCAAACCACGGAGGTGATCAAAGACATGTTCCCCAGATTGACGCTTTAATTCCTTTCCTAAAAGATTTCTTGATAAGTTCAGGAATAACAGGTTTCCCATCCCCTGAAATGACTGTTTCGTAATGTTGAAGCAGAAATTATTTGAGAGATCAAGATATTCTAGACGCCAAAGTCCACTAAAATGTTGAATATCATATATCAGATTTCCCTGAATATGTACATGTGTTAATGAGTTCTTAGATGTTATACCGTACCTGTTATCTACTAATGGAATATACACTTTTTGATTAGCAATGCTAAGGAATTTTAGCTTCGGGGGTAATTGATAAGAAAAGAAAGTTGGAGTCACGTTATATTTCGTACCCTTCACAGGCGTAATTTCTTCCTCTTTAGTATCACAACTATTAGAATTATACTCACATCCTGTCTCATGGATAGGCTCTTCGATTGAATGGTCAATGTCTAACCTTTCCAAGTTTGATAAAAAGTCGCCTTCATATATATAAACCCCAAAAATCAGCGGGTTGTCACTGATATTAACATACTTTAATGTGTTAGGAAGGAAACTTACAAGCATATGTTCAATTATTCCTATTCTATTACTTCTCAAAGACAACTTCTTCAGAGAAGTATTTCTAAGATATTTGATATGATTTATTCTTAATATCAGCGAAACTCCGTTCGCACACTGAATCCTATCTGCGATAAGCGTGTTGATTTTTGAATATTGTAGATCATGAGAAATATTGGATAACACAGATAATGTTAGGTCTTGGTTAGTTGAAATATCCAGAAATTCCAGATCGATCAACTGCTCAAAGGCTCCCTTCTCTATGTATTTGATATTACAAGAAGATAATTGTAAATGTTTTAATTTTCGGAATACATTGAATGTGTCATTCTCGATGCTATTCAGAACACAGAGACCACCATGTAGCGCAAGTACAAGTATTTCAATCGAATTATTTTGTTCAAACGCGTCCTCAAAGTTATGGCCACCTAATCCATTTACCTCGATATGCCTCAATGACGAAAGTCCGTAAAAGCTCTCATTGGAGTATTTCATCTCCTTGATCTCACTTTCAGGGATTTTTGAACAATTATCCTTCATGAGCAGAGTATCAAGTTTTCTAAGGTTCTCAAAAAAGCGTGACGGCCATTTTTTATATCGCTGCCATAAGCAATTTTCTTCAATATTTAGCCATCTTAGCTGTTTGTATCTTGACAGACTTGCCTTTTTCGGACATCGGATATTATTATCGCTTATATCTAGCCGCACGATCGCTTGAGGCATATCAGTAGGTATTTCCGTAAGATCATTGTTGTTAAGATATATGCATGTAACATTTTGTTGGAATTTCGGAGAGTGAGTCAGGTTTAGCGAGCTGCAATCCACGCTCAGCATCCCTCTTTCGTAATAACATCTACAATTTGGGTCGGAAGAGCAGCTTAGTTGTAGTGACTGACTCAAAAATGTTAAAAGGATGTAGAAGAATAGAGTTGCAACGGGACTCATTCTCCTTAATATAATATTTGTCGATCCTTCGTCTGCAGAGAAAAAAGGGAGAAAATTGACTAACATAGAATGAAGAAATCTATTTCTGGTTTGAGATTAAGAAATATAGACCCTGGTTGATATATTTCCAGATGGTTTGAAAGATTTATTTCAAGTAAAGTGTATCAAGAACAAAAATGTAGATTCAATGTCTATTGCCTTAGAAATTTATTACTTTAAAATCAAATATTTTCGTGGGTTCAAATGTTCATGGTTTGAGGAAAGTCTTGATTTGGGGGATTAGGTTAAGTAGATGAAGAATTTTTGAGTAGTTCTGTAACATTTTAAATTTTGTGGTGGATATGAATTCATGGGTCTCTTTATTCCTCGAAAACAGCGAAAATAAACCCCTCGAGATATTTGTGATTTCACAGTATGTTAAAGTACATTAATCTTTTATTTGTATCATCCAAAGCAACTTAAAATGCTGGGATGATTTCGAATATTTAACACTTTATTTGATCAAACATATCATTATACCACATTATAATTATTCTACACAACGCGTTACCTAATTGGTTCTAGATTATCACGTGATTGGGCCATAAAACCTCATATTTCACGGTTGTCGGCATGCTTTTCATCATATTATACCTTTTTGGATACCTATTGCATATTCCAGCAATAGTTATCGTTCGTTGAAAGAAAACTCCTGAGAGTAGTAGACGTCACAATAGCCTGGTTTACATTACAAAATTAATGATAAGTGATGTGTCAAAGCGCTTCAATAACTTTACCTTAAAGATGAAAGTAAATTTGAGAGCAATGCCGAATTTGAAAGTTTATGTTCAAAGTTTTTGCATATATCGGTATAATAAATAATTCACTGCATGAATGTTTGGGAAAGATGAGGATTTATGTCGAAGTCCTCGGGGAAATTGATATTTCTCGGCTGAATAAAACTTAAAATTTCCCTCATTATCATGCAACAATGTATGTTATTCTTTAACATGTTAATTCATCGTCTCATGAAGATAATCACACAATGAATTTAAAATAAAAAACGGCATAAAAATCAAATTCATATGTCTTACCTGTTTGTAATGCTTCTTGTATATTATAAGCAAAGATGCCAATGAAATTTACAGTCCATTTTAATGCGAATCAGATATACAATGCATTTTGATAATCATGAATCTATTAAGTATACTTTTTTTTTTTACAATCGGTTTATAAAATTTAATGTTAAAATGAAAAAGAGGCTGCTTAATTATCCGTCCAAAGCCTACTTACAGGGGTTGAATTTCTGTATCCTTTGTGTTCCAACCAGGAAGTTGGCATTTATTGAGTTGTTCATTTGCTGAAAAGAAGACGTATTGTAAGACATGAATTACTAGTATCGTGTTATGAATTGTATAAGAAAAACATTTCTTCGAACTTCAATATCTAATTCTGTAATTACATAGCTAGATGAATACAAATTGAGCAAAAGATGTATCTCTACAAGGCTAGTACAATAATTTGATATGAGCTGGAGGGAATGGTCTTTATATCTATGTATATAAATTGGACCCATTCCCTCATCAAGATTTAAAAACCTTATACATGTATTATTTTTTCTATGTATTTCAAATGTCTACTTTAGAATTGTTTTTCCATTTCTTGGGGATTGAATGCCGTCTTTGAAATTGATTGTAAAGTTTTTAAGTTCCATCTAAATTAAAAGGGATTGTGTTTCGCCTTTTTAGCTGTCGTGTCAAAGGCTCTGGAAGTAGCTGCGATACTGTTCAAGGTATTAAGAAATTCCCTCGTAGGACACATTGACTCTTAATTACGGTTTAGTATCTCGGTCTTACGACTTAGTATCTTGACATAGTCAAATTAGCAAGATCTCACGCATCTGTACGTGCACTTCGTTTTGATTGGCTGAAACTAAAGTCTTACTATCTTTCTCGTTTTTTGACAAAATCCTTTAAAATTTTGAATATGGTCATACATTATGAAGATCTACAGCATGATATATAAAAATTATCATGAAAGCATGTGCATGCACGTGTGCTGCAATCTGATTGGCTGAAACTTTAAATGCCTATCACTTTCTTAGTTTTCAACAGAAAAGGATGAAATTTAGAACATGAATAGGTACAATGAATTCCTACATTATTGTACTATAAACATTGAATGCACGAACATGGTTCCATGCACACACACGCATGAAATACGCAAAATGACAAATATATTTAAAAACAGTAGCGTGTATATTTTAAAGATTCTTTTTATTGATTCTCACGATACATAGATATGTGAATTGTTTAGACACGTGCCAAGATCACCTTGCATGTGCATGCACATACAATGCGTTAAATGACTTGCAGTTGATATCATTTCAGCTTTTATAATTTTTTTAATGAAATCTTTCGATACTGATAATATTTTTTAAAAAATGTCTTACAGGACTTGGGCACAAAAAGGGAGTTGGGGAACGTTTGGGGAACATCTGTAACGGTCCCCGTTACAATTAACACTAGTTTTCTTCTGTATTCATTCAACGTATCTTAAGGTGTCAATACAACAAAATCACACTGAACTGCCATCCGGTGTGTCATCAAACGTCGCCATTTTGCGTGTGGTATGTTTACCACTTTCCTATTTCGAATGTTCGGGAAACTGCCAAAAATTAACTAAATGCCTTGAATTTTTGTAAAGACAACAAAATTGATTTTGGAATCAAATTAAGGTAATCTTTATCTCAGTGTTATGTGTTTAAAAAACTTTTATTCCGAATTAATACGTGTGTATTCTCTAGTATAACCTTGGTCTTTTGACCATGCGCAGTAGGACCGTACCCTTTGCACATTCAAATATAATAAAACCTTTATTTTTATTCAATATATTATCAAAAAATTATGATGCACTTAAATATGATCAATAAACATTTACTGAAAATTTCAGCTTAGTGCACCCATTACTTTTGAAAAAACGCTTTCTCCACGATTTTAGACAGCCCTCATATTTACACAAATTTATATCTGATTAAAATTAAAAGTCTTGCATGTTTAAATGCTTTTCCTAAACAATTTATATTTGTCATAAAGTACAAAGCAGATATCTACATACAATAATATCCAGAAGTACAAGGAACACTGCAATGGCAAAAAAGTGATACAAGTGTGTTTGCTTTATTGTTAGAACTTCAAAGTATTTGGGACTTGACATTAAAAACTTACATATATTGTATGGCACCGATGGATGCAAACCAAATGATTATTCAATTGACCTGACTGCCAAATAAAAGTCTAAAGTTTAAGTCTCTCATCAGTATCCTTTGATGATAAATAAGAAAACCTATAGAGTAGTTAGAGTTATGGTATATGGGGAACTAAAATTATCAAAAACAAGAAATGATTCGAGGTTTAATAACATAACTTAAAATACCTTATTCAGGGTTCTCCACATTTGAAAATTTAACCATGGAGGAAGCTGCGCGATGGCGAAATGTAGCCGAAAACACTAATGCATCTTAGACTTCCTAATCTTTACAATTTGTAAACTTACCCACTGCAATACAAAAACAATGAAATAACTAACACTTTTTAAAGTTAAAAAAAAATTAAATTGAAAAGGATTTATCCTGTATCTTACTTCACAAATGTACCAAAATTTGCCCGAAACTGTAGTAACCTTCTGAAGGAATATAAAGAAAAAAAAATGTTGATACAGGTAGCCAGTAACCATGACATTAGATTAACAAGTTAATTGATGCAAAGCATCAAATCGGCCGCTAACATATTTAACATGTCAAAAAAGTACTTTCACAATTCAAAGCATTCATGCAAGAAAAGAACAGGATATTCAAAGCTGAAATAGTGATCATTTTTATTTCAGGCCGTCTTCAAAGCAAAAAAAAAAAAAAAAAAAAAAAAAAAATAGACAAATATTTTTTAAAAATTTGATAGAAATTTTAGTATTAAGCCTGCTGTTCAATTCAATTCAATGAATAAAATATATTTTTAACTAGAAACTTTAGTGCATTTGCTCATCTAATGGATTTATCGATGTAAAAAGTCTATGATGAATATGAATAGGCATCGGAAGCAAATCAAAAGTGGGGTGGGGTTGGGCTTATTGAAAGAGGGGGGGGGGTTAAACCAACAAAAAATGGTAAAGCCCATTTTCAATGCCTAAATAATGTATATATTTGCAAAAAAAAGTGGGGGGAACTACATGTGTATCCCAATCCCTTCGGTTCTGACCCCCCCCCCACTTTTTTTCACCAACCTTACTAATACTTTAGGAAATGTTAATTGAAAGCCTGGTTGGCCCCCCACTTTTACGGATGTACCGAAAATGTAGTATTAGAATTGGTACTGAAAGTAGCTGAAACTGAGAAAAAGTATACCTCATACGATTTTCGACTTCGGGCAACTTTTTCCTTTTTTTTTTTTGCTTGTCAACTTTTTCAGGTAAGTAAAAAAAAATTTCCCTGGCTGCCCCCCCCCTTTTCAAAAACGATGTTACGCGCCTGCCTTTCTGCCTTTCAAGATATACCACGTGCTGATACCCTGGATATTTGTCACGTGATAATGCCTGGTTTCTGCAGAGTAGGCTATGCTGCATGGTGCGGTGCAAAAATGTATAAAATAATCTTTGTGTCATTCGCAGCTGTGGGATTTTCAAATAAGTTTTTACTAGTAGACCAACTTTTCAATTTTTTATTCACCGTGACTTTTACCACGTGCACGTCATTATTCTCCGGAAAATCATAACAATTTCCTTTCGTATCTTACACACTCCCTGGATGGGGAGTACCTATTGTAAACTCTTTTTATTTAACCATAAATTATCAATTATCTGATGCAAAATGATAATGAAACTGAAACAAAATAACAACAATTAAAACTTAATTTAAAGCAAGTTTTTAAAATATCTTACTCATGATTTTATACATGTTATCATTTGAGAATTATTTTACTGAACTAATAAAATAATAACATCTCATTTCCCCATGTGCACATTCTAACACAACCACAAATAGATCGGCCGCTGCTGCGGCCGATAATAATTATAAGAATTGTAGCCTGTTGTATGAAATGTTTTGTTTCAATATGACTAAAACTGATGAATGGGTAGTGTTTTTTTAAGTTAACACACAAAAGAACATTTGGACTTAGTGTACTTTTTTTCTAAACTTTTTTTTTCTAGATATTGCATTAATCACCCACTTGTGTTTACTTCTCCACGTGCTCAGAGCTAAAAATAGCGCCACACGACGTTTCATAACAACGGGAAGTAACTCTAAAACTAAGACGGCGATTTAGACACAGGCCTTATGCACATTTTGTCAAAAAGATAATAAAGTTAAAGCTTAAAAAACGAGCATGGGGAATTTATTAAATACAGAGGAATATGAAGTTTTTACCGACTATTTTTTTGTTCAGGCACAGAAACTTGAATCGCAAACATAACGATTATTGTGTTCGTACACCGTACCGGTATTGTAATTTTTTTTTATACCTTATATAGCTAATCATGAAGTGAACATGTTGAAGTTCCCCAAAATTATTTACATGTGTACAGGATAATTAACTCTCACAATATTGATCAGCTGATTGACTTTCCATTGATTGTCACACTTCACAGCATAGTCGCTGATTAACGACGTGTTTGTTTAGCACAGTCCGCTTTCCTTCGAGGCATGCCAGGTGCACGGCAGTCGTAGTATAAAATAATTAACTACTCAAGTCATTAAAAAAAAGTAGGTGTCAGGACTGAAATGCAATAAAATTTAATCATGGCGGATGCTGATTTTAACCATGGCGCAGCTCGTTTAACCATGGCGCACAAAAATTTAACCATGGCGGGCCGCCATGGTAAAACACCTTGTGGAGAACCCTGCTTATTTATAAGAGAGAGTATCTCTATCTTTTATCATTTTCTAAAGGAAATAAGTAAAGAAGACAATAAGATTCAGGAGGGAAAACTTGGCAGTAGGTGTTCAGGCTGGCAAAGGAGGGGGTTGGGGATAGGATTGTTGCTGTTCTCTTTCTAGACAACATAAAATGAGCTTTGAAATGGTCTATTATCATCGTTTTCTTGAATATTAATATTTATATCACAAAAAAGCTTCAGTATATTATCCTTGTGTTAAAGTAAGAAGTCGATTGTCAAAGTCAGCACCTCTCGCTAAAGTCCTTTGATCATATTTTTGGCCGACTCAAGATTTAAGCCTTATCATTTCATTATAAATTTTGCGTTATATTTCCTTTAATGCCTGAATCAAAGCATTCCAAAACTCTTCTGGAATATCTTTATCATATTCAAGATATGTTTGTTCTTTTATTACATCCTTTTGAAATTGTGGCAAAATAGCCCTAAGATCTCTTTCCATTAGAACAGTGAACAAAGTTGTTTCCCCTCCTCTATAGATACTCTCCATTCGAGCCATTTGAGCCTCGTATATACAAAATTCAGATTCTAAGAAAGCTTTACTCAGAAAACAGACAGTGCGCTTGCTATTGTGAATAGCATTAGTTATGTTTTCTGCTATTTTAACACCAATTATAAAATCACGACTGTGTATACAAAAATTAATCTCTTTCAAGCTTTCAAAGGTTTGGTATAAACTCTGCTCTTTCACTTTCAGCGTACGAAATAAAAGCATCAAATTGGTACTCTCTTCCGGAGTCTAAAATCCTTGAATATCCTCTATAACTTCTCTTACCAGCGTAATACAAATACCTCAATTTACATCTATACCTATACATTATTGCAACGGATACAAGAATAATTATGATTAGTAAAATAATGGTAGCTATCACTATTGTTGTTGTAAATGACATACATTGCCGCTCTAAAGACAAGATTATATGACCCAACTTGCGCAGTTCTATTCTGTTTTCGTCTGTGAACACGCATGAGTATTTTTCTCTATCTTGAAAAAAAATTATTTAATGATGCTCTCATCCATTTGAGAAATTTCATGCTTTGGCATGTACATTGTAATGGGGTGTTTGAAATCTGAATAGAGACTTGTTTCTTTCTGGAAGCATCTAAAAAATTCATTGCTTTTGAATCCAACATCACAATTTTATTGAAAGACAAATTTACTTCCCGCAATCTTAAGGCAATTGACAGGTCAAAGGTGACACTCTCTATTTCACTATTACTCAAGTCTATATGTTCTATGTTTGACAAAGAGGCAAATAAATCTTTATGCAAGACAGTTATCCAGTTAAATGACAGATCCAGTACCTTTAATTTATGGAGTGGGTCAAATACATGCTCTCTATTTCGACGCTGCAATTCCTTTCCTAAAAGGTTTTTGGATAAATTCAGAAATAACAAGCCGGGCATATCTTGAAATGCCTGTTTGGTAATGTTGAAGCAGAAGTTATTTGACAGATCAAGATATTCTAGATGTCGAAGTCCACTAAATTCCTGTATGTTATAGATCAGATTTCCTTGAACATGCAAATGTGTTAATGAGTTATTTGGTCTGAATCCGAAAAAATTACCTATATAAGGAAGATATATTTTCTTATTTGCCATGCTAAGAGATTTTAGCTTGGGAGGTAATTGATAAAAATGATAATAATCTTGCTAGATTTGAAAGAAAGTCGCCTTCTAAAACATACTCCCCGAACATAAGCGGATTATTGTCAATATTTATATATTTCAATGGCTTGGGAAGATACTTAGTTAATCGATGCTCAATGATGCCTATTCTATTCCCTGCCAAAGACAACTCTTTCAAAGATGTATTTTGAAGATATATTATATGGTCTATTCCTAATATCCATGAAAGTCCGTGTTGGCAATGAAGATTATTTGCGATCAAAGTCTGGATTTTTGAATATTGCAGATCATAAGTAATATTGATTAATACAGATAGCGTAAGATCTGAGTTTTCAGAAAGATCCAGAAATATGAGATCATTGAGGTGTGCAAAAGCTCCATTCTCCATGTGCATGATATTACAGCTAAATATTGTTAGATTTTTCAAACGTTGGAAAATTTTGAACGTATTTCTCTCGATACTATTCAGAAAACAATGACCACCATGTACCGTAAATACAAGAACTTCAATGGAATTACTTGCTTCAAATGCGTCCTCTAAGTTATGCCCACCTAGTCCATTCAGCTCAGTATGCCTTAATGAGGAAAGTCCGTAAAAGCATTCTTTGGAGTAATTCATCTCCTTGATCGTAGAATAAGATATTTTTGAACAATTATCTTTCATGAGCAGAGTGTCAAGTTTTGTCAGGTTTTCGAAAAAGCGTGATGGCCATTCCTTTTCTTTAAGCCATAAGCAATTATGTTCAACATTTAACCATTGCAAATGTTTGTATCTTGTAAGAACTTTCTTTTTTGGATTTCGAATATAATTTTCACTTATATCTAGCCGCACAATTTCCTGTGGCATGTCGGTAGGTATTTCCGTAAGACTATTGTTGTTTAGATAGATACATGAAACATTTTGGTAGAATTTTGGTGAGTAAGTCAGGTTTAACGAGCTGCAATCCACGCTTAGCATCCCTCTTTCGATAAAACATCTACAATTTGGCTCGGAAGAGCAGTTCAATTGTAGTGACTGCCTCACAAATGCAAAAAGAATGTACAACAATAGAGTTGCAAAGAGATTCATTTTCTTTATTGTAGTACTGCCGATTGGTAGTCTGCAAAGAAAAAAGGCACACACTCAACAATAGCAAAATGAGGTAATTTGATTTACGTTTGAGGTCAAAAGAAATAAAGGCTCTGTTTGTCATTCTTTGCAAATGCGTTGAGTAAATTATTTCCTGTACAGTATATCCAGGAGAAAAAAACAGGATTAATGTGTGAGGTCAAAGAATTAGTTTATTTTAAAATACATGAATCTTATATATCTATCACATGAAGCAATTTAAAACCTTAGGATGATTTCAATTTTTGACCCTTTCTGTGATAATGCATAATACTGAGTATTCTCTAACATGATTTAAGAGTCATATCCGTACATGTAGGTCTTACCGATTTGCAATGCTGCTTCTATTGCTAATCCAATAACCAGTCCAGTGTATATGTGAATCACATACATTATGAAATTCAGAAATTTTATTTTGTAACTTGCTTTACAGTCTGTTCAAAAGAACTGCTGTTTAAATGAAATCAAAACGAATTTCTGTCCGTCGAAAGCCTATCATCAGCGTTTGAATTTCTTTATCCTTTTTTGTTCCAAGCGGGAAGTTTGCATTTATTGAAAAAAGTTCTTTGTTGAGAAGGAAAAAGTTCTGTTAGGCATTAATTACTCGTATCATGTTATAGATTAAAGGAGAAAAAATTTTTATAAAGTTTAATATGTACTTCTGTAAGTACATAACACAAATACAGACACGCAGCATTGGGCAATCCCTTGTCTCACCCCGACTCCCACTTTCTTCCAAACTACTTTTTACTGTATGAAATGTTCATTAAAAGTCCAGTCCCTCTCCCCATATTTTGTTGAAGGATACAAAAAAAAATAATTGTAATGTAGTCTGCATGAGTAAAAAATTGATAATGAGAGAAGTTGGAACCCCCTTTCCCTTAATAGGATTTTTGAGTTTGGGCATATATCCTTTTCTCCTGGTAAGGTTTTTTCAGGTAGTTTAAAAAAAATCCCCCCGCACTTTAAAAAACGATGACATGTCACTGAGATATAAAGGATTTTAGTAATTCTTCTCTTTGAAGTCCAAATAACTTTTTTAAAAATTGAAATTTTTTTTTGATTCTGTGGTTTGAATGACGTCTGTGAAATCTATTTTAAAGCTCGTAAAGTTCCATGTTAGTTAATAGGAATATACGGAAGCCCATTAAGGACGAATAGCCTGTAGCCTTTTCTAGCTGGTCATGATTATAGGCTGGGACAGCAGTTTTGACACCACTGTGGGTATTTCCTCCTACAACACACAATCCCGTAATTACAATTTATTATCTCGTGAATATTACTCTGTATTCTCAGGTAAGGCATAAGAAAAATAAGTCTGAATTTAAACATGAGGTTACTCAAGTTTAAAATACTATTTTAGGTAAATGTGAGTTGATTTCAGTGTATCTCACAGTTGTTTCCTGTAGAATTTTGCGGTGCTAGAAGGAAAAAGCAAACACGGACCATATATTTATATCTCGTTTGTAAAAATCAAATAAAAAATGGTATAAAACCCGTTTATCTTTCTATCTATTAACACCCAAACATCTTGATGTTTACAGTAATAGAAAATACTTTTCAAGCTTTTCCGTTTTGATAAAAACAAAAAAAATCATTTTGAAATAATACCCGGTACTGTCCAAGTCTAGAATAAACAAAAATACAGAAAAGAAATCCCATTCTCCTATTTCTGTACAATTAGTGTGTGTTTTAATCCAAGTTAATTACACTGCATATTTAAAGGACAAGACTATATGGTATCAAAAGTGTCAAGCTAGTCTTCATTACTTTTATTTTTAATGTGCTCTCCTTTATCACCAGTCGACTGCATGGCGCAGTGGTTA